GAGAAAAAAAAACGCCAAGTGCTCATAAAAACACATTCCTCACAATTGTAGCTCAAGCAAGAGTCCTGGCACACACACACTCACACTCTCACACACACTTGCAGACGCACACACAAATTGAAAGAGCAGCTGATGCCGCTGTCAATTGCAGTTTGCATATAAATTAGTCTAATTAAAATGACAAGCATTAAAGGAACTGTAGTTAAATGTCTGTTTGATGTTATACGATTCCAATAATTATGCTGAGCACGCTTTGAAAATTACCGACACCAGCGGCGTGAAGCAGGGCACAATTGAAGAGCTCCTTGAGTACATATATATATAGTATATATGCGAGGAGTGCTTGCGGTTGCTTGTAAAACTTTATGACTGAATTCGATGGTGCGTTGCATTCCGTGCAACCGGAATAACAGATTCAAGCGATTCGACTCGAATATACCTGCACCAAGCACTTCAATTTAGCTGAAAATGCAACTTAAGATCTTAGAGACATTCGATTAAAGATCGATAACATTCAGCTAGTTGCAGGAATGCCACAAATATATTTCATTTTCTTGTAAATTTTAATTATTAAGTTTAACTAATAATGCATTTTTGGTGTGAGGAATTTATGTTTAGCTCAGCCCAAAAAATAGATTGGAAAATGCAATTTTATATCTGAACAACATTCCATTTAAAATCGATAACAATCAGATAGTTGCAGGAATTTCGTTGTAAGTTTTAATTATAAAGTTTAAATAATAATGCATTTTTTGTGGGAGGAATTTATATTTAGCTCAGCCCAAAAAATAGATTGCATTGTCAAAAAATGCAATTTAATATCTGAGCAACATTCCATTAAAGATCGATAATATTCGCACAATCGCTGTAATTATGAAGCTTAAATAATAATGCATTTTTGGTAGCACGAGTTTATGTTTTCCATATTAATTAAATAATTATTAAATAATTAAATTTAAAAACTTTCTTCAAACAAGCTTTAACCAAGCATCATTTTAATTTGAGCTTAAAAATTCGTCTTCTTTTATACAAATATACAAAAAAAATGGATAATTCCCATACAATATACAAGTCCCATACTTCCTGTACTTCTAGACGGCAACGGGTAGAGCAAACTGTGCGAATTTTATGGCTTGTAAATTTCAATGTCTTTGACAAAGAGCAAAAAAAAAACAAAAAAAACACAAAAAAGCAACCAAAATGTGTTCGGTCCTGTCAACATAAAGTCGACAACAACAAAAATGAAGTAAAAACACTTTCTTGGTAGTTTCGGGCACTTCAGCCAGTAAAAAAATAAACTAGAAAGTACTATGAAAGTGCAAACAAATGGAGAAAGTTACAACAACAACAACAACAAAATAAAACATAAAATGAGCAACCAAATTTGTGCTGTTTGCTCTTTCATTTGACTTTTTGAGCGGTCCTCACTCATTTTAACAGCAAGGCAAAAAAAAACAAAACACAACTGACTGCCACGCCCACTGACAAACCAAAGGCGCTCGGCGACCAGTTGGATGCAAATTAATCCGCGCTTTGGCCATTTGAAATGCACGCCCACACGGCCACGCCCCGCTTGACTTAAAAGGGGCAAAAAAAAAAAAAACGCGCTCACTTTTGCATACACTTAGCCGGTGTTTAGCCCACGGCCACAGTGCCACACAATTGTATACACACACCCACCACATAATATATTTCAGTTTTTTGCGCAAATTGAAAAAGTTGAATAAAACTAGCTGTGATTATTCATCCTGTTCTTTTCACTCTCTCCTTCTTCTTTTTTTTGGTATATAGTTTTAGGGGTTTTTGTGTTGTGCACTCGAAATTGCTGCATTTAATTAGCTTGCCACGGATTGTGCATGCAAATAGATTTTTATTTCATATTGTTTTTAGTTTTTTAGCAGGTTTCGTGCAAAATAGATGTGCAATATTATGCTAGGGACCGGTATACCAATCATTATTGTTCTGTCGAATTTGTTTGGTCAGATTTTAATTAAGTTTGACTTCTCCTAATTTAATTATTATATTAATGGAACTATAACTTTAGCTTGTCTGCTTATATATAGATAACATATATATAGATAGCATATACTATATAGATAACATATATATAGATAACATATAAATAGATAACAGCCTGTTCAAATGTTCTTATCATCTCCTTTCAAGTTTATGTTGCTAAATCATTTAGATAATCATATTTATTAAAATAGTTAAAGCTAGTTCGGAGATAATCGATTATGAAGCCAGAAATTAACCAAATCTAAACGATAAGCCTGCCTTTACCTAAGCCACTTCGAATAGCGAAAGTTCTTTTTTAAAATTAAATAATTAACTGCGAATATTTGAAATTTAAACTTAATATACTTTGCTAAAAGCCAACTACATCTTTAAAACATGGCTTAGTATTAAAAGCAACAATGTCTCATAATTGAACTTCCTTCAGATAATCCCCCCAAGAAGCCAATACCTTTCGCTTTAATATAAACAATTACGTATCTACAATATTTACGAAATTTATTGCAAAATAAAGCCACAGTATCTGTAGTACGCATCTAAATAAGTAGTTCGAATAATGATGCTTGAACGCGTGCCAGTTAATCTTTTTAAGTAATTTCCCACGCGCCACAAAAAAAGCCCATAAAATGCCCAGCGCAGAGGACATTTAACGGAAATGCAATCAATAAACTATGAACATTAAATATTATGAGTAGCCGAGCATTGCGCACAAAATGGCGGGCAATCATTTGCCCAGTGCTTTACAAATGGCAGCCATTTTGAAAAGTACTGCAAATAAAAAAGTGTGTGTGCGAAAAACTTTCGAGTCCGAAGCCTGGCAAAAAAAAAAAAACAAAACACAAACTTTCGACCACTTTCGCCAGCTAAGTTTTACGACTGTCGAGCAAAATTTGTGTGCCGTGCAAACAAAGTAAAAGCGAAAACAGAAAACGTTGCTTTCATTTGAATGGAAATTCGCCTCCAACTCCGCCCACTCAATCCTCAATCCTTTTGCCTGCAACGGAAAATCCAGCAGCACTACGTCACAGTTTAGTCGTCATTTTACTGCTCAACTTCTGCTAATGCAAAAGATATGTAACATAAGTATTTTTCATCTGCATGTTATTCTTTTTTACATACCCTGTTAGCATACACGAACATAGGATATGTTGAATTTTGCGTTAATTTTGTAACAGTCTTTAACTTTTCTCAATCTTTCGCAGATACTCTTACTGATCTTAAGTTTATTTCTCTATTCTTAATATTTACAATTTATTTTAAAGATAAAGTACAGATTTCTGGTACTCGAACCTCTTAGCATATCATATCTGTATGTCAAAAGATCGCAAAGTAAACACTTTTTTTTTTTATTTCAACTTAGCTTAAGATTATTTCTCTTTTTTTTAATATCTACAATTTATTTTCAAGATAAAGTTAAGATTTTAGGTACTCTTATCTTCAAAATCGAAAGTTAAGCAAAGCTGAGAAAACAAACTGTGGTCATCCCTCCATATGTTAGCACAGGGTATCTGTTTTTGCCTTCCATTTGATATTTACATTTCGTTCGCATTCATGAGAGACTCATAAACATTTGTGGATGAGGGAATTGGGGGGGTAGAGAGCAAGTCGTATGCAAGTGTTTCCGCTTGTTCCGTATTTTTGTTGCTTTTGTATATATTTACGAGCTGCTTTTTGCTGTTGCTGGTTGACGTGCCTTCCACCTGTGAGCACACACGCACACGCACACACGCACACAAGCACACACACACCGTCAACACACACACTTAAAGCTGAGGTCTGGCTTTATTGCTGCTGACTTGCCTTTTTGTCTCTAACTTTCGGAAATGGACAGAAAATAAATATTTTAACAATTTATTTATGTATTTGCTTAATCATTTTTGGGTGCTGACTCGATAAGTGAGCATTTGTTTTGGGTGATATATAAATAATGTTCCAAAGAGGAAAGAAATAGATATATAGGTATAGTATTTTATAAAAAGTGTTTACAATAGAAATATATAGAAAGTCATAATAATATTTTAAGCTTTAATAATAAATTATAATTGTAAACAACATTTTTCATGTCTATGTGGCTGATACAAGTAAAATCAATAAATCTTTATAAAAAAAATATCTCAACGCTTTTTACTCATCTCTACCCACAGTTAAAAAGTTGCCCATTTACCAACACTTAAATACCTGTCAGGATATTGTAATATGCTGAAAGTGAAAAATAATAATTCTAAAAAACATTTTTCACTTCTAAAGAAAACATAACGCTTTTCTACACACAGTTTAAATACAAAATTGGATCATTTACCAACACTTAAATACCCGTCAGAATACTGTAATTTTCTGAACATGAAAAATATTGATTATAAAACATTTTGCACTTTTATGTGGCTGATGCAAATATATTTTAAAAATCTTGCAAGAAATCCCAATACTTTTTCCTCTAATCTACCCACGGCTTAAATAAGAAGTTGCGCATTTACCAACACTTATACAGCTGTCAGGATATTGAAATTTGCTGAAAGTCAAAAATAAGAATTATAGGAAGCATGTTTCCTTTCCACGTGGCTAACACGAATATATCTTAAAAATCCTTTAAAGAAAATCCTTTAAATGAAAAGGTTGCCCATTTGGCAACAATTAAATGCCTTTCAGGATATTGTAATTTGCTGAAAGTGTTTAAAAGAACGCTTAACACAGGTCTGTAATTACAGTGGGCTCTCATAGAAACGAAAATGCGAGGCGACAAGAGACAATTCATTTAACTAATTAAATATACATTCAGCTGGCATGTTGTTTGCGCCAGCTTCTGGCGAGGAACTGCGAGAACCTGCAGCTACCAGGGCGACAATTAAGGCAACGTTTTCTTTTCATTTTCTTATTGTTTTGTGTAAAAGTAAAAGCTTACGAAATACATATTAAAAGAGCATTATAACGTATATCTAATCACACGCTCTCTGCCTCTCTCTCTCTCTCTCTCTGTCTCTTTCTAGCTGCACAGTGGCAAATGCAAAACAACAATGAAATGCATGCTCAATGCAGAAAAGTGGCGCCAGAAGTGGCAAACGCTGCCAGCAGGAGTCGGCGGCAATTGTCAGCGACAGCAGCAGCAGCAACAACAACAACAACATCAACAAGTTGCTGGCATTCGTGTAAGGGCGACAAAACAATTGCCGCTGTGGTTATTGATGCTGATGCTGCTGCTGGCAGTTGAGCAGGCAAATTCAACAACAGCGGCAACAACTTCAACAGCAACAGCAGCAACACACCCAACGGGCACAGCGAATGCGCCAGCAACAGCAACAACAACAACAACAACAACAGCAGCAGCAGCAGCAGCAATCGCTTCGGCAGCGGCAACATCCTCCTCAATGGCCAGCTCCTGGTTAGGAGCAACTGCAGCCCAAGGCAATCCATTTAAGAACCTTCTGCGAATCGGCGATGGCAACATCGTCACGCGTGTAAGTAGCGGGACGGTGGGGTGGTTGGGTGGTGGGGTGGTTGGGTTGTTTGCTGCCTTAAGTATAATTCATCATCATAAGCTGCAATTAGCGCCAAGTGCAATTGTTATAATTGCGGCGACTGCAGCTGCGATTAACGCCTACTACGACAACTAATTGTATGTGTACATCACTTGGCCGAATATTAGTTTTTTTTTTAACATTTCATTTATTTATTGTCTTAAGACAATAAATAAATTTAGTTAGCTATAATTAAGATTAAGAGCAACAGAAAGTTTCCAGTTAAACATACTTTTATATTTTACTTATTTTGCATGTTAGGTTGAAGTTGCACTTATTTAATTTATCTATCCGGGAGGTCGAGAATACTTCTTCTTTTAATATTAAGTGAACTTAGTTAGCACTAAATACTGCACCCCTCCCTCTCCCCTCACCAAGCTCAAATTTCGCCTAACTAGCTGAAGAGCCTGCGGTAGTCGGGAAAATCGTTTAGAAATTTCTCTTGACTTTGCAGCTTGAGTTAAACGGAAATCTAATCTGCTCAATCGATGAGCACCGCTTTTAAACAGTTTAGAGCTGAGGATAAGAAAAAATGAAAGGCCACTTAATTAATTTGCACGCAGATAGTAGTCGTAGAGGTCTCTAGGAACTCGCAACTTTCAGAAATTCGATCTAATTGCGATTCTTTATTTTATTCTTTATAAGAAAAAGTGATTTGGACTTCTAGATTTGGTTTAATGTATTTAAATGATAATCATAATGAAATCTTTCAAAAATAATTAAATATTGCCAAAAATACTTTTGATATTTCGTTTCATGATTCGAACCAATTAAAATCCGCTTTTTCACTCTTGGCTCATTTTTTTCAATTGCTGCCTCGATTAAAGTATTAATTTAAGAAGAATGAAACTTAAAGTCTAGGAGAATTCAGGAGGAGCAGCCAAACCTCTTATTCCATAAATTCGCTAATATTTTAAGCACAGCAAATGTTCCAAGTTAAGCGACTTGTTTTAAGATACAATATCTGCAAGAAATAGATTCGATAATTATGATTAGATAAGAATGGAAAAGGAAAATAAGCTTTAAATGAAAATTAATTAAAGTAATTAGTTTTATGCCAACTTAACTAATGTCCGCCACGGGGGCTAAGCAATTCAATTTTAATTTTCTTTCTCAAGCACTTAAGAGATCATCATGCAAAACAAAGCAATTGAGAACAAAACAGAATAAAACAATAAGATGTCCGGCCACACACACACACACACACACACAAACACAGACTTTTGGGCCGCTTTAACAATTTGATGGTAACAATGAGCAGCAAAACAATTTAAAGCCAGCCGCTTTTGGGCAGTGTAGAACAAAGCGCGGCCAATAACTCAATTTTCCACTCAAACGATGAAAAGCCGAGGCTGGCGTGAGGCGTGGGCAAAAGGCTGGCCAAAGCTGTTGCCCGGCGGCAGCTTTTGGCCATGAATGTATTTAGCCAAAAATGTATTTTTAATGCGTTTGTCAACATGTTGACCAAGCAAATGATTTGGGTACGCCGTTCGGCCAGGTGGGGCCTGTTGGTCCCTTTTGGGCATTTATAAATACCCGTAATGAATAGAGTTTACGCTTTCTTTTCTTTTTTTTGTCTCCCTCGATTTCCACGCAGACGGCCATTGAGCAATCGCTGGTGACAATACACGACATCGCCACCGAAAATCTGGGTACACTGTGCATCTCCACGCTTTATCGACCGCTCCAGGTGCCCATCAACTCGGAGCGGTTCGAGAGCAGCAGACAAAAGGCCGATTTGGCGGCATCGATACTCCAGGAAGTGGGCATCATACGACATGGCGGTGAGTATCGTTTAATCACAGCAATTACCCAAAATACATGCACCTGAAAAAAACAGATACATTAGCTATACTTATTGATGTATATGTCACGCGTCAAGGCTTCGGTTTGGGCTATTGTCTGATAAATATATATTGATTTATATAGGCTAGCTAATTTTTGGTAAGTAGCGTGCCGAGAAATTGGGACGCCGACAATTAAATGGTCGGCAACAACAACTACATTTAATTATCTAGGGACATAGCTTAGTTTCCTTAATGTTCATGTCAAAATTTAACATATTGTCAAATATAAGTTTCATAGGAATCTTAACAATTGACAAGCGCATGTTACAATATATATCACTTACATAACTTCCTGTCAAATTTAACTGTTTGTCAATAATCATCAATTTGATAATTTGATATTTATTCAAATATGCACTGAATATATTCAAATACAGCTTTAATACAGTTCAATTCTCATTGCATTCGTTTAAGTGCCAAATTCTCTTTTAAAATTAATTTAAGATGTTTCAGTGAAGAGCGCTTTAAATTCTGCTCATTTTTACCCTCAGACAAGGGACGGAAAAAACAAGCTTCCCTTGACTGATTTTAAAGTTAAATAATGTATCACAAGCAAGTTAACTATTTATGAAAAAAAATAAAGGCAAAACATATGTGTAAGCCCTCTGTATGACACTCATAAATTTCAAGCAGCATTATTTAAACCCAACGCCTTTCTTTGCGCTTCTCAATCCAAGCATTTAAGGTCGCCAGGCAATTGATATCCTTTGAGTGCCAGCAGTTGGGGGTCTTCAGCTTAAAAAATTGGCTTAAATTTATTCGATTTGCAAGAAGCTTTTCCCTCGAATAATTTATGCGAGACATCCAAATTTCAAGGACCCAGCAGATAGAGCAGCAGTTGATGATGTTACAATGGCGGCGGATGGTGCCAAATTCTATACAAAATTTACATATGTATGTGTGCGTGTATATACATATAACCTGTCCTGTTGCTTGCCGGCACAGCAACAACAATAACAACAACAGAAATGACAGCAAATTTGCTTTCACTTTATGCGATTTTTGCTGACACGTCGCACCTTTTCAGAGCTGACATGGAGTGGCGGCTGTACATCGGGGTCGGGGCTCCGTGAATGCGGGAGGAGCATCACATCGGTGTGCGCACAAATCAAGCGCTTGTCCAGGACACAAAGGCAACTGGTGTGCCCCAGCACTCAACAAGCAGTTGCTGTTCCTCTTCCTCCTTCCCCCTGTTATTATCCTGCGACCGAACCGAACCGACTCTGTGTGCGATGAGTTCATTGTGCGTCTGTTGTCCTTGACTGCGCAGCTATATACATACATACAGATAGATAGATATACATATATATGTAGTATATATATATGTATTCATGTATGTACATACTGATAGCTCTGACCGCCTATTGTCAAGGCAGCTGCTGCTGCTGCTGCTGCTTCCCTTGACTGGGACCCGGCCGCGGATGGGGGTAGCGCATCGGGCGTGTTCCTCGCTTTTGGCGTGACAGCGCGCTGCGTCTGCCTTTGGGGCTGACAACGACGCACTTGTGGCGCATCAAACGTCCTGCCAGCGCCTGTGCCCTCGCCCTCGCCCTTGCCTTTGCCTTCGTCCTTTGCCTTACACAACACGCATGCAGCTGGCGCTTGCTGCCAACCTACCCTTAGTTGCCTTTTATTGTCGCGCACATAATGGTATTTTTATGCCCTCTTAAAGGGTATTTTCATTTTATCATTCAATGTGTAACCCATTTACAAAATCTAATTAATATCGGAATACTATATTATATAGCTTGAAATTTTGAGCTTTAAATTCTCCTCGCATATCTACAAGCCCGCAGGCCACATGTTTTAAAAGTGTATTTAATCTTCGGCTAGCCGTTCTTGTTCTGTTTAATTTGAAGTTGTGTTGTGCCCTTTTTGCATTCATCTCTGATTTAAGCAACGCTTTTATGTGTCCCATCAACTTTTACACGATAAACAAGCAAATGGACAGTGTGCTCTGATTTCTGTTCTGATTCAGTTAAGAGAATTTCAGGCAAATAACAAGCATACGCATCGTTGTACAGCGACATATCAAACTCAAAGCTGATTTGATAACAGAAGTGTTTTTATTACACATGAATATTTGTACAATAGTTGCACTTTATTGACAATAATATCTATGGAAATATATCACGTGCAACGTTGTTTACATATTCATTTATTATCTGCAATCATTCTGTTACAAAAAAAATAAATAAATATGCAAACTGTGGTAAAGGGGAAGCCAGTTTAATCCAATTGTTACCAAATATTTTGGTATTTATTTATATGAAAAAATGGCATGAAAAAAGCCCTAAATGAAAAAACAGAAATCAAAGACTTTAATTGAATTTAGTTTTAACTATACAAAGTATGCGCACAATCGCAACCAATAAAATCTGAATGCGAGCTACTTTTTTTATTCCAAAAAAAACTAGAAAAAATATAAAGTAGCAAGCTTTAAAATATATGATAGCTTGCATAAATGTTTGGGTTAAAAACAAGCATAGCACAGATATGCGATACGAAACGAGTCTGAGATACAAAAACTCAATTCCTTAATAATTTTTTCTTTTTTAAGATTTGCGATATAGTAGTCCGATTTTAATATGATCTGCGCCCTATATAACAAAACTTGTAATTATTTAATATAACGTAATGTTAAATATCTCAAAATATAACATAAAAGTTTTCATACAATGATAAATAAAAAAGGCTTCCTTCAATTAATTGTAATGGAAGTAATCCAATATTAGTATTTTAATATATATATTAGTTCCTCGTAACTGCCGAATTTAGTAAACATATCATCTAGTTTCTATGCTAGCTGTATTACTCTAATTATCCCAATCAATCGAATCAAACAAGTCTGCTGCCTGCGGCAAATAAAGTTCTATGTCACTTTTCATCGGAAAAGCTTTCTTTCGGCTAACCAATATAAATTTCACTTTGTAGCCCACATTGTGCTCTACACAGTGTGTGAGATGTCTACAAAGGAAATAAAAGGGCATCTTTTAATTAATTTATAGTATTATGAACTGTGGTCTCTAGAGAAACCAATTTGAAATTTGTGCATTTTGCTGACCTCAACCCGTAGCAAAATACTCTCATTTCACACAAGCCACAGTAAGAAATAAATTGCAGAGCACACAAAATGTTTTCAGCTCAAAAACCAAAGCGAGCAGCTTTTGTGTTCCATTAAAAAAATGCCATTTAAATGGTTTTCGGGCAAACCGAATCTCTGATTAATTTAATTACTAAGAAGAGAACAAAGACAAGAAAAGTCGCACACAATCACACGCACCTGGACAAAAATACACAGCAAAAATCTTGTGGGTGTGTTCGAGTTGAATAATTGTCAATTTTACATAGAGCTAAGCAAAACTTTTGTGCCAAAAACAAATTGGACACAATTGTGCATGTTTATGTCTGACACCTACACACACACACAAAGCACTTGCAACACTTGGCAGCAGGCACACACACTCACACACGCACACTCCACTCTCTTCGGTGGCCATAAATTCTGAAGCTAAAGATTGATGATGCGAACCGAGTGCAAGAAATCGCACGCAGATGATGAATGACAAACATGGCTATAACACAAACGGCTACAGCTAGAACAGAGTGTGCCTGTGTGTGTGTGTGGCTGTGTGTGTGTTGTGTTAGGTGAGCGTCTAAGCCGGTTGACAGGCATTGGCTAATGTTGTTTACCATAAGGTTACCCTGCCACAATTTCAGGCTGCCTGCCACATTCGCAGCCGTCGCAAATGTTTGAACTTGTGGCAACACTTTGACGCAACTTGGCATCAGGAACGTTCTGTTTATGGGCACGACTACGTCCGCCCACACGGCTGTCCATAGCTCTCACTTGCAACGCCCGCACAAGAAACTTGCCACATTTGCCGCCGCTGCTGCTGCGTATTTGCTTTATGGGCCAGCAACAAAGCAGCAACAACTCCAAAGTAGCAGTGGCAAAGCATTATACATACTAATCAAAATATATAAAGAAGGACAATCTGCCAAGAGTCGCAGCCAAAAGACCCTTCAATAAAGAAAACTATCCGCAAAGGCAATATAACACTAAGGAAATGGATCTTAAGACTTAAGATTTGTAGAATAACTTTGATTATTCTCCAACGCTTGCATTTAAATTCTTTTAAAAATATTCCAAATTAATTCAACTGTTGGAAGTTTCTTTAACAAACTCGTATTTCTCAACCAGACCTAAATTATTTCCTTTCTCAGACTCTCTTAGTTTATACTCTGCGAAATCAACGCTACATTAAAGTAGTAATAGCCGCGCTGTAAGAGTATGTTTAAGAAATGGGGCACGCAGCGAAAGTGCCACGGAAGTTGCGCTAATCGAATTTAAATAAGTTTACTTTGTAAACAGTTTTTGCTTTTGTTTCCGCTCGCTTCGCAGCGCTCGGAACAAGTCAAACAGAAATGCGGCTGCCCAGGCAAGTGCGGCAGAAAAAATATTAACTTTTGACAACCACCACCCCCCGTTCCTCCCTTCCACCCACTTACAAACGACCCTGCACACTAAGCAAGCTGGTCAGAGGGGCTGCGGGTGCGGGCGGGTGCGGGAGGGTGCGTGGATGCGGGCGCTGTGCACCCGTCGCGCATATTAATCATTGCTGCCAGAGCTGCCGACATTTTTTATACCAAGGGCAGTTTCAGTGTTTCTTTTAATGGGCTTTTTCCATAGCACAAAACTATTTCAAGGTCAACATCGCGATGATAGTTGAGCCTAAATTAAATGTGCCAACAAATTTTTAATTTCCGCAATTAAACACTCGGTCAATTTTGTATGCACAACAAACAGGCTTTAAATTGATTACATGTTTATATACTATGTGTAATGTAGATAAAATTAAACTTACTTGCAATGACAGCTACTATTTTTATTAAATACGTAAAATGTCGTGTATATTATTTGCTCATGAATTATGCAAAAACACACAATGTAAGCATGCTCGCTGACAGCTCAACACATTTGCTGATTAAACATTTAAAATATTTGCATGCTTTTATTAAAAACATGTCAATGAATTCAACATTTTTATTCTTTTCTTTAATTTTACGCATGCAATTTGCAATAACAATAAAATTCGTTTTTCAACTTGCCAACGTTTTTTCCGATCTTGGATTGTGCAAAAAATAATCGCTACTCGCAAAACTCAACACTTAATGGAATGAGTAGCTACAGTTTTCGCCGCTGCAGCTGCAAAACTCAACACATTTCGCCGCTGCGGCGAATTGCATTAAATTAGCCGCAAAATCGAAGTCGCGTTACAAAATTCTTGCAATTGTAGACTTATTAAAAATTTAGCTTAAATATTGGGACAAACAAAAATTGGCCAGATAATTAAGATAACCAGCCGAATTAGCTGCCCGTTAGTTGTGTTTCTCTGTAAAGTCAAGGCAAATAGTATTCCAATTGGGAAAAAGTAATCAATGTCCTTCCAGCGGTGCACGGCGAAAAACGCAAATGGCGCAAAATGTCTTGCACTGAGTCAGCGAAAGCGAATTGCGCAACGCTTATCAGCAAAAATGCAGGCATTGCGAAAGGGGTAAGGGGAAAAGTTAATTATTCAATAATGCATTGGCATGCAACCAAATTGAAAATTGAAAAAGCCAAAACGTTTATCGCAGCTGAATAAAGAAATAATTCAAATGTCAACGTTTATTAAACCAATTAATCGCCGTAAGTGAAATTTTAATGAGTATGTCTGCTGTCCGTCTGTTTATTCGACTATGTCTGGTTGAACGTTTCCATGTTTCCGCATTTAATTTTCACATTTCCGTAGCAGATTTTAAATTATTTTCATTTCACTTGCGCGCTGACCCACATTCAGGTCTTGCACACAAACACACGCACACACACATTCACATTCACATTTAATTTGCCAACATATTTTTATAGGACTCTCGGATGCGCTGGCCAAGGGCTTGCTCACGGATGAATACATAAATGGTGCACGCATTTTAGCTTTGAACCTAACCAACGGCGCGGTACAGTCCTACGTCTGGTGGGTGAAGAGCGGACACGATACGCAGCGCTACGAGGAGGAGGGCCTGCAAATTGGCAAAAAGCCTGCACACAGTTATCCCTGGTAAGTGGGAAGCACCTTAATTATTGCCCTTCTCCCATGTATACCCTGTACGCATCGACCTTGGCTATAATAAATGGGTATCGCCAAGCCGGGCGAGTGTATATAACAGTCTCTCCATTGGTAAAGAGCTGAAGACCTTAAGTTTCCCTAGAGGATAGAGGGTATCAGCTAGTCAATAGAGGTAGAGGATATCAACTAGTCAATCGGTCTCGGTATGAATCAATCAATCAAAAGGTATCGCCAGGCTGGGTGAGTGTATATAACAGGCATCGTCTGTCTGTCCATTGATAAAGAGCTAGAGAGCTCAAGTTTCCCTAGAGTGTAGAGGGTATCAGCTAGTCAATCGGTCTCGGTATGAATCAATCAATCAGAGGGTATCTCCAAGCCTGATGAGTGTATATAACAGGCGTCATCTGTCTCTCCATTTGTAAAGAGCTGAAGACCTCAAGTTTCCCTAGAGTGTAGAGGGTATCAGCTAGTCAATCGGTCTCGGTATGAATCAATCAATCAAAGGGTATCGCCAGGCTGGGCGAGTGTATATAACAGGCATCGTCTGTCTGTCCATTGATAAAGAGCTAGAGAGCTCAAGTTTCCTTAGAGTGTAGAGGGTATCAGCTAGTCATTCGGTCTCGGTATGAATCAATCAATCAGAGGGTATCTCCAAGCCTGATGAGTGTATATAACAGGCGTCATCTGTCTCTCCATTTGTAAAGAGCTGAAGACCTCAAGTTTCCCTAGAGTGTAGAGGGTATCAGCTAGTCAATCGGTCTCGGTATGAATCAATCAATCAAAGGGTATCGCCAGGCTGGGCGAGTGTATATAACAGGCATCGTCTGTCTGTCCATTGATAAAGAGCTAGAGAGCTCAAGTTTCCTTAGAGTGTAGAGGGTATCAGCTAGTCATTCGGTCTCGGTATGAATCAATCAATCAGAGGGTATCTCCAAGCCTGATGAGTGTATATAACAGGCGTCATCTGTCTCTCCATTTGTAAAGAGCTGAAGACCTCAAGTTTCCCTAGAGTGTAGAGGGTATCAGCTAGTCAATAGAGATAGAGGGTATCAACTAGTCAATCGGTCTCGGTATGAATCAATCAATCGCCAGGCTGGGCGAGTGTATATAACAGGCATCGTCTGTCTGTCCATTAATAAAGAGCTAGAGAGCTCAAGTTTCCCTAGAGTGTAGAGGGTATCAGCTAGTCAATCGGTCTCGGTATGAATCAATCAATCAGAGGGTATCTCCAAGCCTGATGAGTGTATATAACAGGCGTCATCTGTCTCTCCATTTGTAAAGAGCTGAAGACCTCAAGTTTCCCTAGAGTGTAGAGGGTATCAGCTAGTCAATAGAGATAGAGGGTATCAGCTAGTCAATCATTCTCGCCTAACTGCAATTTGCGAATTTTGACAGGTTTGAGGATGAGAGCAGCACACCGACATTGCGCAGCCCGAAATTTGCGCCGAGTCCACCGAATAACTACTACAAGGGCTGGTGGACCTACCCGTACTTCTCGTGCGCGCTGAGCAAGTGGCTCGTCTCGTACAGCATTGCGATACCGCCGAGTGGACGGCATGGGCTGCGCGGCTTCATCAGCGTGGACATCGATGTGACCTCGCTGCGGGTCAACCAGTGCGATGCGCTGCCCTATCGCTTCGGCAGCCAGCAACAGTTGCTGATGCGGCAAAGGCAGCCGGCGCGGCGGGCGACGGCAGCAGCAGCTGCGATGGCGAGTGCCAATGATGTGGACACCATAAATGATTTGCAGGCATTTCACAGCTCTCACAAATGCCATCGCGCCTCCATGGTGGTAAGTCTGACTGTCGGAGCTCCGATTTAATTAATTGACATTTGATTGCAGTGCGACTATCGCCAGCCGAGCGCGGAGGCGCCGACAATAAGCAGCGGGAAAATATTGGCGGCCATGTCCGGCAGCAGCTGGTCACGTGGCGCCTATCAATGCCTGTGCAAGCGCGGCTTTTATTCGCTGCGGCATCCGGATGGCTTCAATGGCACCATCATGGAGATTGCCTGGCAGGAGCATCAGGACAATATAAGCAATTACTATACGGATGTATTCAAGTGTTTGCCTTGCGCACCCGGCTGTGACACCTGCACCGGCCCCGAGCCCTGCCTGGCCAACTATCATTGGCCATTCAGGTGAGTTGATCCTAATCTAGAGTATCTATAGATATATAAAATGTATTTAATCTGGATACACACAGAATATCCCTGCTGACCATTTCGATTGGCTGCGCCTGCGGCACCTTTGTGCTACTGTGCTATCTGTTCCGACATCGGCGGGTCAAAGTCTTCAAGGTGGCCAGTCCCATATTCCTGATGATCACGCTCATCGGCTGTGCCATTATGTATCTGGAGGTGAGTTGTTAACCCATTTTGAGAGTGAGAGCGCCTTTCACTCAGCCGGCTACTTAACCCATTAAATGCCGTGCAACACACAAAGGCCATTACGAATGAATGAGACGACAATGGCAGCTGCTGCTAATGTGACAAAAGGTCTCATTTACAATTGACCCACATGTAAGAGCCCGTCCCGAGACCAGGGCATGCTCCACCTGTGGCAAACGCAACATAAAACTCCTTTTTATGGACTTTTAAATGCGGCTTTTAGGAACTTGCCTACGCGGCGGCATTTGAGCTTTTGATATTATGCTTGTAACTGCAAAGGGTTAATGAAATTGTGGCTAACTGAAAAAAATATGTTTACTTAGATTTGCTTTTAAACTGTTAAACTTATGTGGCTGAAATGTTAAAATAACAGCGTGTCTACTATTTAACATATAGTAGCAGCAGGGCTTATAGTATAGTTAACATATGTTAATAGGCTGCTTAACATAGCGCATCAATTGAAATGACAGCCTAATATTTTCTCACTGCCACTTAACAGCGACTGTTATTTAAAGTATAACAGAACGCGAAAAGAACAGCTTAAAGCTAACATAGTTTACAAATGTTAAGCACAGCGCGACATTATACGAAACATTACGCGAAAATACGTTTAAACTATGAATCCAATGTGCAATATTATTTTAAAAATATTTTGGAATATTTTCTATAAATATTCGCTCTCATATTATAAAAGTGTCATCTATTCTGTTTGCACGCAGGGTATACAAACATTTGCTAAATATTCATAAGTTCTCCTCGCATTGTTTACAATTATGCTGTCAACATTAGCCAAACGACAATGGAAGCCCCACCGGACACATAAATGCCGTGAGAACAATGGCCAACTTAGGAGTAACACCAAGCGACAAGCACAACAAATGGGTTAAGAGGTTGTTTCGAGGAAGGTTGGGCGGGTTGGGAGCGTTGCTTGTTATGGCAGCCTTGGGAGCTTCAAAGCGTATCGTATACTAATAAATGTAACTGATTTTCTAATCAGAGTTTGTTTGAGTGTAAAATAACGGAGCATAAAATCTGTAGCATGAGCGACAACAAACGAACAACGGAGCGTGGCGGAAATTTACCCCATCCCAGCGAGAGCGAGAATGAGAGCGAGGATGAGGAAGCCATGCAGGCCGCACTACGAGAAATGGTTAAGATACCAGATATTGAGCCGCGGCAGACTCGAACGAGCCAACGTGAGGAGCCACGGCATATTGTAAGCCTGATGGATAATCTTAAGAAGAACGCATCGCCAGAAACGCAAGATAAGTGGGTCAAGACAGTGTCCGATGTGGGAATCGAATCGGCAGCCTCGGGGCTAACTGGCGACAAAGACGTTAAGGCATTGCGTAAGATCAGGCAGAAGACACAGGACGACAAGCCAAAGCAATCAGAGAAGGTGAGGGGAGCCCCTGAGGACACTCCAAAGCAGTCGGAAACCTGGGGAGATAGGCTCAAGAAAAAAGGAGCCGAAGGAACTGCCAAGCGATCAGAAACTTGGGCGGATAAAGTCAAGAAGAGCAGCACCGAGCTAGCCTCGACAAATATTCACAAAAAGAAGGACACCGAGGTAGCACCCAAGCAGTCCGAGACTTGGGCTGATAAGCTTAAGAAACGAACCCCGGAAGTACCCAAGCAATTCGAGACTTGGGGAGAAAAGCTGAAGAAAAAGGCGAGCGAAGCAACACCGAAGCAGAATGACACCTGGGCCGATAGGCTCAAAGCGTCGGATACCAGCAATAATGTGATGCATCCAGCTTATGTTCAGATTACTTCTCTCGCGGAGCTGCCGGAGCAGTTGACGGCAGAAGAGCAGCAAAGATTGCAGCGCATTGAAGCTGCCTCCAAGCCCAAATCCTATTTACAAGCCAAGGCACAGAACGCAACAAAGTCCAAGATCAGTGCGCCAGCCGAATTGGAGGCAGTCAAATCCGTGCCAGCAGACCAGCCAGCTGAGCAGGCACGACAATCGGGCTCCATAAACATTCTGACGGTGCCAATTCGACGGGCTCTGAACTACGAGCCGAGCAATGGACAACCGGCCAGTGAAGACATGATAACGCCACGGCCACAGGAGAAGACAAGTAATTTTAATAATATACCTCAATTTGGTCGGGATAAACGGGACTCGAATGGATCAGTTGCTGAGAGTTCAGCTGGTCAGCAGGATCCCGCTAATCCCAAGGATAACAAGACATCGGCCGCTTTTTTTGCTAATTTGCCTTCGTTGAGTAGAGCTAGACCAGCGAAAAACGAAGCTGCGTCGACTGCGGAGGCAATGAACCCCAATTTGGCTCAAGAGTCTGCGACTAACTTTACCAATTCAGACGCGGCCCAAGATTCAGTGGCCTCCTTAATAGAGAAGGCATCCGCTACATTTCAAAGCCATATAACTTTATTCGGACGAGCTGTTAATGCTGTTAATGAAGCCCGAGCAGCATCTGCTGAGCCCGCAGCCAACAGTTCAGATACTCCTGGAGAAGCTGCCGATGATACAACAGCTCCACAGACTGCACCATCAGGCTTTCTCGGCAGTTTGCCATTTTTCGGACGAGCTAGACCAGCCCCGAACGCAAGCCCAGCGCCCGAGGAAACAGCAGACCCAATGAAGATCCCCATCAAAGAATCGCCAACGGATTTTGATACGGAACTTCCACTGCCTGAACCAATCCCAACTGCGACTCCAGCGTCTGCAGAGGTAGTAGCCAGCAGTTCAGCTATTTTCACGAATTTTCCGCTGCCTGGACGAGCTAGACCCGCGCCCACTGAGGCGTCCACAACTTTTACAAACGTAGTCGGCAGCTCCACTAATCTGGATGAGTCAGCGACTGCAAAGACAGCTGAATCTGTTGCTCCAACGTCTGGAACAGGAGAGCAGTCGCTGGATGGCCTTTTAACAAATCTTCCACGGATTGGTCGACCTAGACCTGCCACAAATGAAGCAACAGCATCGCCCAATCAGGAGGGTAATGTGCCCGAAGAAACAGCTCCGTTAGCTAATCCAGCAGCTGCCACCGAAAAAACTCCAGTGGAGCCAACAGCAACTTTCTTTTCGCGTTTTCCACACTTTGGACGAGCTAGACCCGTGCCAAGTGAAAAACCGGCGACAACCAGAGCAGAGCCAGCCGAGATTCAGGCAACAGCTGCAGCAACAGGTGATCAGGTAATTTCTATGGATGCAATTGCTCCTAATCTACGCCTGGAGGCGACAGCTGATGATGAGATGACTCCGACTACAAGTGTGCCCAAATTAATTACCGGAAACCAGACTCAGCAGAGCGAGGACATGGCAGAAGATATCCAAGCAGTTGGTGCATCAAGATCAGCTCTGCCAATTGGGGATAACATCAGCTCGAGCTTTGTGCGTGCCCGTGCGCCCAAAGAGGCTGGCGCTGCGCTTCGTCAGGTGGTAACCGCTAGCCAGGTGACACCTATGCCATATGGCGCTGGCAAGACTTCGGTCCGTCCAGGCTTTACGCCTGCTACAACTATGCCGCCAGCCGAGGAACAGGGTGCGGATAGCGCAAGAGCTGAAATCGCCGATTTGCCCGACAAGCATTCCTTGACGGCCAACTTGTTGCGTTACCTATTTCCGGTTTCACGCGATGCCGTGACTGAGCCCCGCCTGACCAAAGACGTCGTGCATCCCTTGACGGAGAACAGTCGCATGCCGAGCGAGGTGATCGTTGTGGACAAGGACAAGGACATGGACAAGGCCAAGGAGGAGGAGAAGAAGAAGCGGGCCAGCCAACTGGAGCGCTCGGAATCGATGCGCACCCTGACCATAATCGGACGCCACTCGCACATAAGGACCACGTATCGGGATCATTGCCACTACGAGCGGCACGAGGGCGTGGACAAGCGGGCCAGGCGCAAGCTGATCGTGGCCAGCATCCTGTGCCTGTTCTTTATGATATGCGAGATCGTTGGCGGCATACTCTCCCGCAGCTTGGCCATAGCCACAGATGCCGCTCATCTCTTGACCGATCTGGCGGGCTTCCTCATTTCGCTGTTCGCCCTGTATCTGAGCGGCCGCCCCTCGACGCAGCGCTTGAACTTTGGCTGGTATCGTGCCGAGGTGATTGGCGCCATGCTCTCCGTCTACGTCATCTGGGTAATTACGGGCATACTTGTCTGGCTGGCCGTGGATCGGCTGATCACGGGCCAGCACGATGTGGACGCCACCATAATGCTGGCTACCTCCGCCTTGGCGATTGTTGTCAATTTCATTATGGCCATCCAATTGGGCCTTGGGCATACGCATACGTCCGCCCAGGCCAATCGCGAGCCGCGGCTTCACTCGCATATCTCCCAACCGACGGCCATTGAGGGCACCAGCAAGAGCCAACATCTGATCCCAGCCTCGATATCCACGCAATGCACGGACCTTCATGGTGAGAACATAAATGTGAGGGCCGCCTTTATCCATGTCGTTGGCGATATAATTCAGAGTTTTGGCGTCTTTGTGGCCGCCATCATTATTTTTTTCAAGCCCGAATGGGCGATTGTCGACTCCATTTGTACGTTTGTGTTCTCGATAATTGTCCTGGTGGTCACGCTGCGCATCCTCAGGGATGTCATGATGGTGCTCATGGAGGCCACGCCCGATTATATGGACTATGGCGAGGTGCAGCGCACATTCCTTAGCATCGAAGGCGTCGAGCATGTCCACAATTTACGCATCTGGGCGCTGAGCATCAGTAAGATAGCGCTCTCCGCCCATTTGGCCATCGCCAAGGATGCCGATCCTCAGCTCATCCTGGAAAAGGCCACCACGCTGATCCACAAGCGTTACCACTTCTTTGAGACCACCATTCAGATCGAGGAGTATACTCCGGGCATGGAGGACTGCAACCAGTGCATGAATCCACTCAGCAGGCCAGCGATAAAGGAAGCACTTGTCGAAGCTACCGCTATGCCCAATGGGAACAGCAAACAGATTGACTTTGAAGATTTAAACAGGAGCAGCAAGCAGAGTGACAATTTAGATTTAAAAAGGAGCAGCAAGCGAAGTGACGATAAAGATTTTAAAAGGAGCAGCAAACAAAGTGATTATGAAGATTTAAAGAGCAGCGCGCAGAGTGACAATGAAAGTGTTAAAAGGAGCAGCAAGCGAAGTGACTATGAAGATTTAAAGAGCACCACGCAGAGTGACAATGAAGATTTAAAAAGGAGCAGCAAGCAGAGTGACAATAAAGACTCTAAGAGGAACAGCAAGCAGAGTGGAACTGAGGATTCAAAGAGGAACAGCAAGAAGAATGGAAATGAGGATGCACAGAGGAACACCAAGCAGACTGGAACTGAAGATTTAAAAGGGAGAAGCAAGCAGAGTGGAAATGCGAATTCAAAAGGGAGCAGCAAGCAGAGTGGAAATGCAGATGTAAACAATGAGGAACCACCAAGCCCGTCGCAGGGAAAAAGAAAAAGTGGAGCTAGATCTTCTACCTAGCAATGGCAAAATTTGTCTTTAAATTCATTTGTACTATATTTAACGATTTAGTGATTTTTTATGATAAAGAAATTTGTAGCTGCAGTTAAAATGGAACTAGTAATAGACTTATTGAGAACTAGTTCAGTTTTGAGTCTAACTAGTTCATTTTGTGAACCACTTTAAAAGACGTATTTAACGATTTAGTGATTTTTTATGATAAAGAAATTTGTAGCTGCAGTTAAAAACGAACCTGTAATAGACTTATTTGAAAGTAGTTCAGTTAAAAGGAACCAGTAATAGACTTATTGAGACCTAGTTCAGTTTCAAGCCAAACTAGTTCGATTTGTGAACCATTTTACTTAATGATTCAGTGATTTTTTATGATAAAGAAATTTTTAGCTGCAGTTAAAAAGGAATCAGATATAGATTTATTTAAACTAGTTCACTTTTGAGCTTTACTGGATCATTTTGTGAACCACTTTAAAAGTCGTAAATGATTTTTTCTGATAAAGAAATTTGTAGCTGCAGTTCAAAAGGATCCAGTAATAGACCTTTTAAGAACTAGTTCCGTTTTGAGCCTAACTGGATCATTTTGTGAACCACTTTAAAAGTCGTATTCATGTCACTACTTGACAATACACAATCCGTGAGTTTGAACCCCGAGAGATAGATTTAAGTTAAAAAAAATTTTTTAATTTCGAACTCAAGTTTCTCTTTGTTCCAATTGCTTCTAAAGAGGAATTCTGTATGGGCAAAAAGTCAGGCCATGTGGGCCTTACCACCCATAAAGCGACCCACCTGTCAACTGCCTTCCGGGCATATCCGCTGTCAACTTAACGGCACTTTGAGTGGCACTTTCAGCAGCTCCCGGTTCCTGTTGTTGCCGCCTACTTAAACACTTTAGTTAAACATTAAATGAATGAAGCCGGATAGTCGTTATATATATCTAAATCAAATCCCTTTTCTGACATTTAACAGATGGTCGCAATTTTTCCTTACCTGGACACCACCTGGTGCATTGCCACCAAGTGGACGCGTCACATGGGCTTCTGCATTACCTACACCTCGCTGCTGATGAAGACCTGGCGGTAAGTCGACCTTACCTGCCTCTATCTCTCTCTCTCTCTTTCTTTATCACTGTTGTGCTCCCTTTCATGTTCTCTTTTTCTTTGCCTTCAGCGTGTCTCTGACATATCGCGTCAAGTCGGCCCATAAGATCAAGCTGAACGATCAGCAGCTTCTGCAGTGGATGGTGCCCATATTGCTCGTAATGCTCATCTATCTGGGCACTTGGACTATTTCGGCCACGCCCTACGCTGAGGTGGTAAGTACAAGAAATCGAAGAATGCTATAATGACAGGATTTTAAAAAGTTTTTTCAAAGTCCTGATTAATTAGATATTCTGTTTTGATACATTTTATAGAAATTACGATGTTTTTAGATACCTATCTTCTGTAATCCTTAGCTTTATCTTTTTGCTTTAATCAAATTTTACAAAAGCTTTTAATCCTTTGGATTAACGTATATATTGGAAAGTTGGAAATTATAACAATTATATAATTTTTTACAAAAATCCTTTTATTTTCATTAACTAAATATGTTCATATTTTCCTCATCTAAATATATTAACTACATATTTCCCAATTTTAATGCCCTTTGTGAACTGAAATTTCCCCTTTTGAAATTTCTATTTAATTATTTGTTTATATACCTTATAATGCATTAAAATCCATTTTATGCGTTAACTTTTATCATTATTTCTGATTTTAATTCTCTATTTTCCTCATCTTACCCTATTAGCTATATTTTCCATATCTCTAAATGCGCTTAATGAACTGAAAATTTCCCTTTTATAATTTCCCTTTTGTTACTTTACTTATACTCCTATTAAGATATTAAAATCCCTTTATTTTAATTCGGTAAATTTTTCTATCATTTCCTTTTTTAACTTTCTAATTGTTTATATTGTTTTCCTGCAGTTTCTGCTCGCTTTTTGCAGTTTCTTTCAGCTCTCCAACAGTTTCTCACCTCTTTTCACTTGCTTTCACCTGTTTTACTCCATACAGATCTACGATCAGCATCATCTTAAGTTCAAGCAATGCTCGTACAATTGGTGGGATCACAGCTTGGCCATTGGCGAGGTCTTCTTTCTGGCCTGGGGCATACGGGTCTGCTACAATGTGCGCAACGCGGAGAGTCTCTACAACGAGGCGCGTCTGATCTCTTATGCCATCTACAACATTGCCATTGTGAACATTGCCATGGTCGCGTTTCAGTAAGTCTTCCACATCTTTGGAATATCTTCAGCCATATTCTCGGATTAAATTGGCTTAAAGAAGTTAGGGCTAAGGCTGGTTGATTATGAACCGAATTTTCAGCCGGATTTGCTGCCAAAAGAGCTGCCGAACCCTTTTTATTTTGATATATGTGATATATGTGAAATATGTGAAAACCTGCTTTCACGAGGCAAATCTTAATCCGAGCTGGGTTTGCTGCCCTGGTTGTTTTCTTGGGTAATCCCTGGGCATCTGCTAGCACATCATGTCCACAATTTCGCGATGCCCGTTTTAATTAAATTCCTTTGCTTTGTGCGCGCGCGCGTTTCCGTTGTAATCCTTTTTGTCGGTCTGCAAGGACATGCTGTCAGGCTCCCCGTCCGTCTTTTCCTCTCTCTCTCTCTCATCCCGCCCGCCTGGTCGACCGTCTGGCTGCCCGTCTTCCTGTCCGTTTGTTTCTTGCTCGCCGCATTTTGTTTACATCGGCATTCCACGGATTTCTTTGCCAAGTTCTGCGTTCATCGCGCGGCTTCCTGCCAACTTCTGCCCGCTGCTGCTTATCAAATTGAAATCCTTTCAAGTGTTTTGATAATTAATGCAATTTGTTGTTAAACTTTCTTTTTCATACAATACTCAACTTGTTGCCGACGTAATTTCAGTTTAATTTTTAGTCGTAGGTCAAGAGAGGTTAGGTTTACGGTTAAGCAACGTTACGATTTGGTTTAAGAGCTAAAACACAAATTAAAACTGTTTGGCCAGACTGATTTACTGACTGTGTTCTGATAAGGGAACACATGGGAAACTCCGCTAGCTGGAATTTAAGATACTTAAATGTTAAATTTTCCTACAAGCCCAATTTCAAAGTTGTTCTTGGCCCGGGCAAAGCCGGGTACTAACTGTCAGTGACTGATAAAATCAAAATGGAATGTTTGAACCTCAAGGTAAAAATTGATGATGCAAATAAGATGTATAATCGGAAATTGACTAAGCCTTAGATTTTTCTACTAACCTTTTGACTTACCTCTGACATTCCTCTAAAATTGAAATTCTCTTGCCCTCAGTGTGATGCTCTTTCCGAATGCTGGGCCCGATTACAAATACATGCTGGGCTTTGTGCGCACCCAGCTATCGACGACGACGACCATTGCCTTGGTCTTTGGTCCGAAAATTGCACGTGTTCTGAAGGGCCAGGGCGATAAATGGGATCAGAAGGCCAAGGTGCGCAGCATAACCGCATCCTTTTCGCTAAACGGCGTTGGCCTGGTGCCCGAAGAGTCGCCCGATCTGTATCAGGAGAACGAGGAACTCAAAGTTAGCGCCAAGCAAATATTAGTTTAAACAATTCCTAATCTTGTACTCACGTTTTTGCAGGAGCAAATCCAGAAGCTGGCACACCAAATCGAGTTCATGAAGACTGTGCACATGCAGATGAATAACCGGCATCTAAAGCCAAAACCTGGTGGCTACTTTACCATCACATCGACCTCATTCCAGGCGCCCTATTCCAAGAACACGGTCTCCACGGCCCAGACACAAACCGGCAAGGACGACTCCAGCGGGTAGGCAACTAATATAAGAAACTGGGACGAAATTTGCCTGGCTTTTTTTTTTGTTTAAATTTAACTTGTTTTGTCCGTGAGGTATTCCGTATCCATTTTCGTTCATTCCTTCAAATATATTTGTGATTAATTTTTTGCTTATCGAATGAAAAACAAAAACTTTTTCTTAATTAAACTAATATAAGAGACTAGGGTGCATTTTGTCTGGCTTTTCTTATGTTATATTTTAAGGATTTCCTCTTCAGCTATTTAAATTTAACTTCTTTTTGTCAGTGAGGTTATCCGTATTCATATTCATTCAAATTACACAAATATATTTGTGATTGATTTTTTGCTTATCGAATGAAAAGCCAAAACTTTTTCATAATTAAACTAATATAAGAGACTAGGTTAAACGTTTTGTCTGGCTTTTCTTATGTTATATTTTAAGGATTACTTATTCAGCCATTTATTTGTAATATCGAATGATATTCTAAAACTTTCGGATTCCCGGGTAAAAGTGACTACCACGATAAACTCTTAAGCATTAATTTCTAATGTCAATCAATCACATTTCTCTTTATAGATTCGCTCATAATTTCAATAAATAATACAATCGTTTTTATTTGTTGTAGGATGGCCGGAAATGCGACGCCTTCGAAATGCAAATCGCCGAAGGGCAAAGTCTGACGCGGTCAACGAAGTGTTAAAGATTGCTCAATAAATGTTGTTGATAAGCATGGCAAGGTCGTAGAGCAGGCAATTGATTTTAGTTTCTACCAAGAAGAACAAGCAGCAGAGCAGCAGCAGGAGAGGGAGCTGGAGCTGGAGGGGGAGGTGGAGGAGCAGGCGGAACTGGGTAACGAGGCCGAATTGCTGCGTCAATTTCATCGGCTCTTTGCGCCGATTGTGAACGACAGCCTGCAGCTGTATTACGAGCTAAATAGCCAACTGGACAAGGAGGATGGGGATGTGCAGCACATACGCATACATCGCACCGTGGCGGAGCTGAACGAGCTGACCAGCAGCGAGGAGGAGGAAACGCTAATCACACAGCTCCATTCGCAGCCGGCGGAGCAACCAGAGCCGCCGGCAACAACGCCCAGCAGCAGCAGCAGCTCCATATCATCCACATCGAGCAGCTGTCTGTATGCCATACACACGCCCCTGCCGGCGCTGGCGGGTCAACGTCTCGGCTCGCCAGCGTCTGTGTCCAGTGAGCCGCAGACCCTAACCGAGCGCGTGCAGGTGCATGCCAACAACAATGAGGAGGAGCTGGAGGAGGTAGAGGATGAGGAGCCCAGCAGCAGTCACAATAACAACAACAACAACACCTCCTGCTCATTGTCCTCCACGCTGACGGATAGCAAAACCTTGGATGGACGCACGCCCATTGTGGTTTAGGCTCTCGATCTGCTTTCTGCTTCACTTTGTGAACAACTGCAACAACAACAGCAACAACAACAACTGCAACAACAACAACAGTAATTCGCTTAATGTTTAAACTAGTCTTAAATAATGTTTGTGTATATGTCTCTGTCTGCCTGTCTGTCTGTCTGTCAAATTGTTTAGCTGGATGCGTTTATGCGTGGCAGAGATTCGTGCCAAGTGTCCGGCAAAGAAAACCCAACGATGCGCTAGTTGTGCAATTTTTATTAATTTTAAATTATTATATATAGTTAATTCCATTTAATTAACAAATTTAAAAACAAAAAGTCTAAGTTTTTATTTTTATTTAATTCTATTTAAATTCTTTTTTTGCTGTCAATCTGCGCGACGCATAATCGCATTCGACTCGCTTCTAATTCCTAAATTAATTGTATTTCTGTTCGGCTTCTTAAACATACATATTTTTGATCATCCATTAACAGAAAAAACAAACATTGAGCAAACTTTTTTCACTTCGTTCGGATTGTGAAGGAATTTGGTGGCATATTTGGGCCTGGAGGCCTTGTAGAACGTCATATGGCAAGGCTCATAGAGCTATGCCCTAGGGCTTAGCCTGATCTTTCTTAATTTCTCTCATGCACCTTAGCTTAAAGTAATTTATTATTTCTACGCACTCGCTCACAGTACTTTGTTGCAATTCGGTTTAGTGGTCTTTAAATTCTAAGCAATTAGTCAAAATTAATTTACTTAACTCAACATAAATCTACTTAAATGCAGTATACATAAAAAAAAACTTAAGGTTAGCAAAAAGAGTCGATTTTAGTGTAATTGGTAAAGGCATAAAAGGTATAATAAAAATAATAAAAATAAAAATGTAACTTTTGAATTTTAGCGTACAATTTTTAAAAATAAAAAAAAAACTGTTAACAGGCGCGCAATTTTTCAGAAATAGTTGGGCATAAAGTCAGAAAAAAATCTTACGACAAATTATACAATTAATTAACAGTTAAGTTAATGTTAAATTAAACGTATACATATTGAAAACAAAATCAAAAATTGCAAAATAAATGTTATAAAATAAAGAATATGAATTGTGTTTTCTTTTTATACACAAACCTGAGATGGGCTATCATCGGCACGCCGAAGATTTAATACCCTTGCAGACCCAACTTTTTCTAAGAAGCACAGCGAGAACAGTTAATGTCGTGCATGGTTAAGATATCTTGATAAACAAAAAAGTTTTTCATGCAACTTAATTTTTGGACCGATTGTTCCTATGGCAGCTATATGATATAGTGGTCCGATGTAAATAAGATTTTGCATAAATGTAGGGAACACAGTGAAACTTATAAATGGTAAGTTTGGTAAAGATATCTACAAAAACAAAAAAGTTTTCCACACAACAACTTAATTTTCGACCGATCGTTCCTATGGCAGCTATATAATATAGTGGTCCGATGATGATAGGATTTTGCATATATACGAGGAGCATAGTACAACAAACAAATGCCGAGTTTGGTCAAGATATCTTGATAAACAAAAAAGTTGTTCATACAATAACCTCATTTTCGACCGATTGTTCCTATGGCAGCTATATGATATAGTAGTCCGATGTGAATAAGATTATGGATAACTGTAGGGAACACAGTGAAACTTATAAATGCTAAGTTTGGTAAAGATATCTACAAAATCAAAAAAGTTTTCCACACAACTTAATTTTCGACCGATCGTTCCTATGGCAGCTATATAATATAGTGGTCCGATGTTGATAGGATTTTGCATATACATGAGGAGCATAGTAAAACAAATAAATGCCGAGTTTGGTCAAGATATCTTGATAAACAAAAAAGTTTTTCATACAATAACCTCATTTGCGACCGATCGTTCCTATGGCAGCTATATGATATAGTAGTCCGATGTAAATAAGATTATGGATAACTGTAGGGAACACAGTGAAACTTATAAATGGTAAGTTTGGTAAAGATATCTACAAAAACAAAAAAGTTTTCCACACAACAACTTAATTTTCGACCGATCGTTCCTATGGCAGCTATATAATATAGTGGTCCGATGATGATAGGATTTTGCATATATACGAGGAGCATAGTACAACAAACAAATGCCGAGTTTGGTCAAGATATCTTGATAAACAAAAAAGTTGTTCATACAATAACCTCATTTTCGACCGATTGTTCCTATGGCAGCTATATGATATAGTAGTCCGATGTGAATAAGATTATGGATAACTGTAGGGAACACAGTGAAACTTATAAATGCTAAGTTTGGTAAAGATATCTACAAAATCAAAAAAGTTTTCCACACAACTTAATTTTCGACCGATCGTTCCTATGGCAGCTATATAATATAGTGGTCCGATGTTGATAGGATTTTGCATATACATGAGGAGCATAGTAAAACAAATAAATGCCGAGTTTGGTCAAGATATCTTGATAAACAAAAAAGTTTTTCAGCTATATAATATCATATCCTATATAGACTTCTGCGATATTGGACACTCCGCCCAAAAACTATTTAGATACTTTCCGTCTGGACTTTGCGTACATCAAAAAATTTCCCTGGATAAAAAGGAAAAACATTTATTTTTGTAAAGAAAATTAACTTGTTTTTGTATGACTAGATTTTAGTTTTATGAAAATCTTAGCTAGTTTGAGTATTGAATAAAAAGTTTTTCTTGTTTTATAATCTTTATAATTACGTATACGAAAAGCATTTCAAATCAGATAATACGCTGATAATTACATTTGCTTTGGCAGGACAGTATATAACCAGAGAGAAAATATCTGAGTCAATCGGAAGAAAAATGAATTTTAATCTGGGACTCTTTTGCATTATCTGCGCAGCTTTGCCGGGCGGCTGGAAAGAGGTTTGGAATGCACCAGCTCTACTCAAGGACTAATTACGCCATTTCACAAGTGGCCCTGAGAAATATATTTTGTAAAAAAAAAATGGATAAATAAACAGGGTATAACTATGTATATGATTACATATTTATGAAGAGAGTAAAGAACAACTTTTTCTTTATTATCGATGTGTGTATTATCGATGTGTGTCTGCAAATCTAAATATATAGTTGCTAAGCAGGAATAAAACGTTTAAGGAATAGAAAATTTATCACAATTGGATCCAAAAGATACATTTTCTAATTTAAAAAAAAAATGGATTGCATACAGAATAAATAATGCATTAAATATATTATATTTAATTTTAATAATAAATCTTTATTTCGCTGGCTCAGTCAGTCAGTCAATCAGTCAATCAATTAGTCAGTCAGTCAGTCAGTCAGTCAGTCAGTCAGTCAATCAGGACAAACAATTTTATAAATAGAGATATATTCAATATTATATAATATATATATTCAATCAAATGCATAAAATACCTGCACGTTTGCGGAAGTCTTGGTGCCAATAGAATTTTGTTATAACAATTCCCATTCGATCAGCTTATATAATTAGTTGATTTCATTTAAAAATGTTATGTAAATATTTAAATAAAATATTACATGCATACATACACATACATGCACCAAAAAGGGAAAATATAACTTTTGACATTTTATTTAAGAGATAAAAGCAGCACTATTAAAAATTTTTTTAAATAAATAATGTTTATGTGTATCTCTCTCTCTCTCTCTCTCTCTCTCTCTCTCTCTCTCTCTCTCTCTCTCTCTCTCTCTGACTGTCTGTCAAATTTTCGCTGGGCATAAAAAACTAGAAACTGAGATATTTTATAGATAACTCTCAGTTATAGGAAATTCTTAGCTAATATGATATATGACTGATATATATTTATAATTTTTTGTTTTATAATCTTTCTCATTACGTATACGAAAAGCATTTCAAATCAGATAATACGCCGATAATTACATTTGTTCTGGCTAAGCAGTATATAAGCAGAGAGAAAATATCAGAGTCTATCGTAAGAAAAATGAATTTTAATCTGGGACTCTTTTGCATTGTCTGTACATCTATAGGGGCCGGCTGGAACGCACGAGCTGTACTCAAAGACTAATTCCGGCATTTCTCAAGTGACCCAGTGAAATAATTTTTGTAATGGCAGATTGATAAATAAACAGGATATAGCTATATAAACATATATGATTACATATATATGAAGAGTTAAGAGTAGCTTAAGCAACTTTTTCTTTAGAGATATTATCGATGTGTGTCTGCAAATCTAAATATATAGTTGATAAGCAAGATTAAAACGTTTAAGGAATAGAAAATGTATCACAGATGGATCCAAGAGATACATTTTCTACAGAATGTATAATGCATTAAATATATTATATTTAATATTAATAATACATTTTTATTTAGCTGACCCGAAAGCCTCAAAATGACATTCGTATCCCATTAGAGAGTTTTTAAACTGAAATTCCCCAAAAACACATATAGTTTTGTTATTATATTCTGATTTTTTCACTGAATTCTAATTTTGACTAACATCCAAATTAACTGAGCACCTTGCCAATTATGGGGCAAACGAAAGGCCAACCGAAGGCTAGTGCTACGCTGAATCAACTGCTGGACGAGAGTTTCGAGTGCATGCTCCGTGTGGCGTATGGGATTTGTGGTACGCTGGCCCGGCCAAAGGATCGGATCATTTGCAACAGCACGCTGGCCGATTTGACCAAATTCAGTCGATCCGATTCGTTCGAGGTGAAGCGTAATGTGCACAAATTCATGAGGTTCTATTTGCAAGTGCTGCGCTGGACACAAACGCATCAGCCGATCAGGCTCTACGAGAAATGGGCAAGTGGCGACAGTTAAGATAATCAGTAAGAATAATCATTTACTAGCTCACGTGTTGGCTTCTTTACAGTATAACAATGAGGGTAATAATGTGCAATCGGACTTTTTCGCCCAGCCGGGCATGAATACGCCAGACGAAAAGCACATTTGGCTGGAGAATGGCAAATCGTATCTGGCGATGAAACACTTTGATGATGGCTCCACAATGATCTACTCGGCGGTGGCCAAGGACTCCAGCATTGGCTGGATGGATGGCGGCATTAAGGTATTGTCCAAGCAGGTGCACACAGCTGAAGTCGATTAGTGTCAGTTTGTCATACGATATGAACTATTATATATTTCGAGTTGTGAAATGCACAAAAAATGTTTTGCGAGATTCAGTGTACAACTTTTGTAGCTCTTAAAATTAAACACAAAATGTGGACGGAATGTGTACAACTTTTTGTAACTCTTAAAATTAAATACAAAATGTGGACGGACTGTGGACAACACTTTAAAATTCACCTAGAAACTAAGTTTTCTTGCTTGGAAAGGCACTTGTTGAATGCTGCTGGGCGATCAATTTTCTAGCTGCGCATAAACGTTGCTGCGCCCGCCATCAGTGCAAATCCAAGCAGCAATTGCAGGGACTTGTGCATGGTCAATAGACTGGCGCCGTTGCAACTGTCGCTGGAGCAATAACACTCCTCCCAGTAGACGCCGTTCTCGTACACGCCCCAGTTGCAGACGCCTGTGACGCCCGTGTCCGAAACGGATGCACAGCGGCGAATCACCTGACGCCAGCGGCCATCCCCTGTGTAGAGATAATACCAAACATAAGAACTTAGTGCAACCAACTATTACAAATAAACTAAATACGCACAGATAAAGCCGCGTGGTCCCTGCTGTATCACCTTCATGCAGAAGGAGCCTGGCATGTGGGATTCGTCGCTGTTGCATTCGATGGATATGTGTTCGGTGCGATTGAAGCGCTTGTAGGCGCCGCAGCTGTCATGACCCTTGCGATCTTGGTCCGATGAGCACTGGTAGCAGCGTATGGCCCAGCTACCTAATTTCATTAAATGAGTAATTAAACAATTTCAATTAGTTAACAGTTGGCAGCCACACCCAATATGTGAATTTCACGAAAAACAGCATATTGAGTGCCAGCAACAGCTTACCACAAACGGCCAGCGAGAGCAACAGGAAGGCGCAGCGTGTTAACGTCAACATATTATGGCTTTTTTGTTATTTGTGCGTGTTAAAATCTAAAACAAAATTCGTTTAAACCAAAACAAGATGCTACGGTATGAATGTGACCGTAATTAATGCTGTGGCTCTGTGTGACTGGCAATAAATTGTGGCGGTCGGTCGATGAGCCTCACTGTTGACGCATCGGCCATATGCAGTGTTGGTCAACAACGAATTAAATTATCAACTTATTTAACGTACGTTTTGGAATGTCAGCTAATTTTTTGAATTTTCAAAATGGTAGTTAGTAGCATTTTAAAGACAATCAAGTTTGGCTCTAAAATTCCATTTACAATAGCTTTGCTTAATCACATTTCCGCTTAAAACATATGTCGAACTAATAAGCCAGGAAAAAATGTGTATGTTTTTCTACATATTCGAATTTGTACATAGACTGTATGATAAATTCCCTAATCTTAAGAGTGTGCGGTAATAAGAGCTTTCACTGTACTCTGTTTTTCAATATTTACGCAAATATATCCATGAATATTTATATTTTTAGTCATACAAATTTTCGACTCGAGCTTTTGTAAACCGAAAAGATAATTAATGAACATAAGGAACAATAAAGTAATTTCCAAATAACTGTGACTGCTATTCGAAATTTTAGTTATTTAAATTTCTCTATTTGGTTTTGTTTATTGTTTTTATTTGTTTCTCATACTCAACACGTAGAACATTCCGATATGTAACTGTTTGTATAAGCTTTGAAACAACTGCATAATTTACAGGTTTACAGATATATATATATAGATATTTATAATATTTACGATTAACAGCAACCACCTAGTAGGAGTATTTGAATATAAACTAAACTGTATTAAATAATTGATTTATGTACAATTTGCCTGCTACAGCACGCAATTGGAAAATTTAAAAATATATTTCAAGCGCAGCCACGAATTACAATTAGAATAAATAAATAAAATACTATTTTGATGTACATATACATATATAAATAAAAATGTACAAAAAACAAACACGTTTACTTGCAATTTGGCTAATGAGAGTTGTACGCTATTAATTTGTAATATAATATCTAGATATGTTTACGCCTAAGTTGTGGGTGGAGGGGGGGGAGGGGTAAGTGGTTGGTTTTAATATGTACAAATAATTTAATTTTCTCATAAAATTCTACAAGTTTTGAATAAATAGGACGCGCTGCAAATATACAAGTTATAAAATACTTTAACAAATTCAATTCAATTGCAAAATTGCAAAATTACTTAAATACGTTGGGAAACAAATGCGGAGCGAGTTGGTATGGATAATAATTATATATAAACACATATATATATATAAATTATACTATATATGTATATCGTATATAGGAGAGGATCTTTCAGTTTGAATATGTAATACTTATGGTTACACTTTACGCTTTAAAGGCTACTTGCATTAACTATAGAATATTTAGATTTTTTCATATATTAGTTTTGTTTGTTTTTTTGCTTTTGTTTGCTTTTGGAGTAGGCTTCGGCAGACGACGCACTGGGATTGTCTCTAGGTTGTGGTTGATTTTGGTTTTAGCACACACATCATCAGGCGGCACGTTTGTTGCGCGCTGGCAGCGTTGTTGCTACGGGCTGATAGCAGTTGAGATTGGCGGACAGGCGACCGAGTGCGGCGACCAGGCGATTGGGTAGCCTTAACAATTGCTGCTGCAGCTGTTGTTGCCGCTGTTGTTGTTGTTGTTGTGGCTGTCGTCGCAGCTGTGCCACAACCTCAGCATGTTGCACGTATGAGACACGTATGTTGACCGCCTCATCATCATCATCGTCCGCATCGCAGTCACTGGCACTGTCCACATCCTCGTAATAGAAGCCCGCCGGCGGCGGCGGCCGCACGGTTGCTGCTGGCATTGCTTGCAAAACAGGCATTGGCAGCACCACAGACGCCGCCGCCGCCGCCGATGCCGCTGGCGTAGCAGCCACAATCGCCGATTTTGCCGCGGACTATATGTTAGCATAGTAGGGGGCTGGTGTGTGTGCATCGCAGGGCTTGACGCGCAGCTTTTGCTTGTAGTGGTACTCCTTGAGGTAGCTCTTCAGGCGACCCGGCAGCTCCAGCTGATTGATGCCATCGTATGAGGTATTGGAGACAATTGTTGCGCGCGCCAGCTGCTGCAGCGAGAACGTCTGGCGGCGATGCAGCGGCATGGTCAGGCAGGGCTCAAAGAACATCACGCACGACGGATCCTTGTAATGCTCCAGCAGTCCGGTAACCGTCAGAGCAGCAAACACGCACGGATCATGACAATCAAAGCTGTGGGTGGAAAGAAGATTTCAGAGTTAGTTAACCAATATTAAAGATTAAAGCTTCCTCAAAGCAAGCAGAGCTGCAAATCGGTTAGGAATCGGTTCCTCGAAGGGGAAAACCTGGTTCGAGCCTGTGGTCTGATCTCACTTTTTAACGAGTTGACTCAAAGATTTGAAGCATGTGTCATTGGTTATCTAGTTATCTGTCTATTGACTCACCTAAACTTGTGGCCGCTCTGCTCGATGCGCGCGTGAAGCGAACGTCCGTATTTGCGGAATGTGACCGAGAATAGGAACTCCTCCTGTGCGGAATCGCGCAACAGAAATGTGCCCTCCGGCTTGCCTTCGAGCAGACGCTCCGCCTCATACCGATCCATTTTGCCCCAATAGAAGCTGCTATTGATGATGCGCTCCAGATCCGGCACCAGGCAGTGCATAAAATCGATTTGTGAATGAACCGTCACCCCGGCACCGTACGCATTCAGCGGGAGAGCGGAACGTGGCTGTTCAATGGCCAAAGCGGGCAGGACTGCCGCCACCGCCGCAGCAGTAGGGTCTGGATGTGTGGAGGCAACCAAACGTAGACCCTGATGGCTCATGGTGACCACGGGCGTATTCGCATTGCAATTGTTGCACGCTGCGGTAGCTGCAGCTGATTCCATCAAGAATTGCGGCTGCGGCTGGGAACTGATGCGTATGATGACATCGCCCATGGCGGGCGCTGCCCAAATCGCCAGCTGGCTGGGCTCGGCGACGGCCACAGAATTGCGCTGACGATGCGTTTGCAGGCGTGCAGCAGCTGCTCCGCCGCTGCTGGCGCTCAGCGTGGGCGGGGTGGAGCGTCTATCGGCGCTGCTACGCGACTTGGTGCGAGGCGCAGCCACAGCAGCGGCTGCTGCTGCTGCTGGCTCCTTTTTGTCCTTGGCGGCACTGCCACTGGCACTGGCCGTGCTCGACTCCAGCATGCCGCGCAGACCGCGCAATGCATCGCGACATTTGCATTTGCAGCAACGACGCTTGGATGTGCTTGTTCCTGCGGCGCCAGTTGGCAGAGCCTTGCTGCTGCGACTGCGACAGCAGCTGTTGCCGCTGCTGCTATTGCTGCTGCTGGGCGCTGAAGAGAGAGAAAAGAGCAAAGAGAGAAGAAAACGAAAAAAAAAATTACAATTGGCATTTAAAATTATATTTGCTGGCGTTGATTTACCTTGCGCGCGTTGTGCTCCGCTCGACAACATATCGCTGACTGGCTGCGGCTCGAGCACCTCGCAGTACTCGACGCCTTCGGCGCCGCCGCCGCTGCTGCTGCGACGCCGCCGACGCAGCAACGACGATATTGCCATTTCCAATTCGGCGTCTTCGGCGTCGTCAACGACGTCGTCATCATCATCATTATCGTCGTCGTCGTGCAATTGTAGCATTTTGACCGCAGCCGACGCCGACGCAACGCTTCCCGCTAAATTGTTGTTATTCACGAGTTGTCTTTCGTTTGTTTTTGGCGCTTCCGTTGAACTGCCCGCAGTTCGACTCGCACCTGTGCCCGCCGTTCCAGCTGCCGCACCCACTGCCACACTTAAAATTTGCTCATTTGCATTGAGCGCGTCCGCAGACATTGCGACGCCCTCGGACAGTGGAAATTGTTGCTGCTCCTGCTGCTGCTCCGCGCAGTCGTTGCCGTCCTCCATTTTGGCCAATTGTATTTTAATTATAATCTGTCGCACCTCTGCTAACGCCTCCTCAGCAATTGGCGTTTTTCGTTCGCCAGCTTCGGCAATATCTGGCAATTGCTGCTGCTGCGTCTCCTGCTCCAAATTCGTCTGCCTGCTTCTGGAATTTCTATGGGTTCTGCTCTGGCTTTGGCTTTGGCTTTGGCTGGCAACGATGACGTCTGTTCGTTTGCTCAATTGATGACCCATTGGAATTTGTATATCTGTGTTTCCTTTACAGGTCCTGCTACATTCAACTGTAAATAGGAATAAGTAAAATGAGAAATAAGTAAGTGTATTCACATATTCAAATTATCTGCAATTTTATGCTTCTTCGGCGTTGCCACCTTTTTAAAATGCACTTTTAGCTGAATGACGGTGTGGCCAGCTTACTTAATTGATATTTTGCATGATTTATATTTTACATATATGGTATATACTAAAAATAAGCGATATGCTTACGAGTATTTAACTTTCCATAAATAGACAAGGAAAATGAAAAGTTGAATACATTAATTAGCTAATTATATTTAATTTGATGTAAAAACAAAAAAAATTGCAATTTCATTACGCTTCAAAATTTTCCACATCAAAAACGTTAGTTATATAAAAACTGTGCTTTTTCAACAAAAATGTTAATTAGTTAGATCGCGTAAAAAGAAATTAGTATTTTGCTAAAATTTTTGCACCGTTTCCACTGGCAGCTTTTAAACGTTAACACATGTTTCCTGTTACTGTTGCTTGGTTTATCCAGAAACAGTAAATGAGTAATTATTAAAAATAAAAATTCCAGTTTATTCGCTGCTAGCTTTGAACAATTCTCTCACAGCAATCACATGTCTCGACGAGGCAGGCGCGCGTTTAACCGAGTGTGAAATGTCTTGACCTACAGCAACAAACGCGCCCCCCCATAGCAGTAGCTACTGTTTTCTAGTTTTCCGACTTAATTACTTACTTAAGTCGAGTTGAAGTTGGGTGTTAGCAATTAAATGCACTTACTGATACGACATGAGTCCCCCGCAAACACAAACACAAACTCAGACACAAACTCAGACACACTTTGCATTCGCTCACAGAGCTCCAAGTGGCGCCCACGAAGAGGTCCCCCCCCGCCAGACTGACTCATGCAGCGCGCCATGCTCCAGGAATGGCCCATTAAAAACAATGGCGCACATAGCAATCCCACGCATCGGCTGCCGCACACAGTCCCAGAGTCCCAAAGACGCACATCTTTATATCGTTACCTAACATATCGTTGCGTATGTTAATCCTAGGCTATATTTAGACTAGGGAATGGAGTGTGTAAGTGAAATCTAGCCTCAATAACATACATACATACATATGTATCTGTATACATATAACACTCGCTGTTCGCTGCAACGTTTGCCAATTTCACAAATCATTGAAATCGTAATGAGAGACCCAGCAGCGAAAACCCTGAGCTCCGAGAGTCGCATTCAAGTTTACACAGTAAGCGTTCATTCATCAGAATTGTGGGCAAAGATTCATTGATAACGCGACTCGTATAAACCCACACACACATACACACACATACACACTCACACACACACACATTAGGTCCCCAGTTTGTCTGACGCGATTTCTTGTTGCTTGTTTTGGGGGTTTCGAGTAAGAGAGTCGGAATCCTTATCGCCGCGAAAAAAAAAAGCTAGGTAATAATATGCGTCATTCGCCAAGGGCAACCATGACAGACGTCTCTAATGAGTCACACTTCTCTGCTAGGCCAAGTTCCCCCCGAAAAAATAAAATATAACTTCTGAAAATGTTGCCAAGCCAACAAAAAAAAAAAGCTGTCATTTGGGGTATTTCATTGAACCATTAGATCACCGATCAGGCGATTCGAAATGCCAATGACCGAGCGAGCGCTAATTGCAGCTGTCACAAATTGATATTAACCAGAAATTATAAGCGCAATGCTTAAATATTATTGGGTATTTTTTTTTTCCTGTTTCTAAGAGAATTTTTATTTTCCGCAAATACTTTGAAAATAGCAATAAGGATTCGATATAGTGCGAACTTAGCAAAATTTTCTGGGCTTGAATATGGAAGAAGGTATCTAAATACTATTTAGTAAATATATTAGTTATATTTTTTTCAATTGTTTAAACTACACTAGAATCTACAACCCAATTTTGGCATAACTAATTTTAAAAGTTTTTGAGTTGTGCTTTGATAAAGTCTCAACATTGATTTAATCGATAATTTTTATTTCTTTCAAAAATACTTAGCTTTTGTATGAAAATTTGAGAGAATTTATGGATATTTTTTATTCGTTTCAAGAATACTTAAATCAAATATAATTTAAATTTTCAAATTTGCGAACTCATAAAAACTTGCACGTGTCTAAAACTGTTTTAAGTGCAGCTAATTAAAGTTGAAATGAATTGCAAATGTTCTTTTAATAGCGTAATACTATATCAAGCATTGTAATCAGTATTTCTGCAGCCTTGATCGGTTATTTAAAATTAATCATTCTGTTAAATCACAGCCAACTACTCTGACATCATTTAATTGGCTTTTCAACAGAAATACAGAAATCGACAGCAATTCGTATCGCTAATTGGTAATCAGTAAGTTTGCCAGCTGAACCTAACCAATTGCTGCGTAGTTGTAGCTATTCATAATTGCAGCCTTATTCCGAATCCGAACACTCGTCAATTTCTGGGAAATTTCACCCGCATTGCACCCATGGAAACGCTTTCAAACTTTGCGCAGGGCTCATTAAATAATTAACAGTGCATACAATACAAATACAAAAACAAGGCGAGGGGTAGGAAAAAATACTATTGAAGCTAAAATTGGAAAAAACCATTTGCTCAAAAAGCTTAACGTACATACTTCCCGGAAGTGCGATAGAGCCAAAAGCTCGCTTTTGGACAAAGCTCAATATGTTTTTAGCCAGAATTCGATATTCATTTAACTTATTTTTTATTTGGAAATACTAATTGATACCGCTAGCTAATTGAAATTGTGTGGCGCCATCTATGGCTAACAAGCTGCAGCACGTGCTGCTTTTAATCGGCAGCGACCTTTCTCAATGCCCGATCAATGGGGGCGGGTGCAATGAATCAGGTCGTAGTAGTATGACACGATTCTCGTTTTGTTTCGATTATTTTATGCACACATTATTCCCAACTGAAAACATCCGATTATATTTACGAGAATGATGAAATCCAGCTGTATGTGTGTGTGTGTGTGAAAGACCCGCATGAGACGGCGGCGAGCGACGACGAGTCAGCCCCCAACTTTCAATGGAAACCTGAAGTTGAAGCACACCAGATAAAACCGCATAACTCGCTTATAACAACACTCTTTGGGCTACCACACAAATATATTTATATATATATATGTATATATATAGTATAAGGCTAAGTAGGCAGGTAGGAGGCAGGGTATGAGTCACTGGAGCGCATTGGGGTAGCGCTTCAGGAGGTGTGAGATGCGAGGCACGAGCTACAGCGACTACTACGTGCATTTAGCAGCCCGCCTGGCGTTTCGAGAGGGTCCGCGTTTCGGACCTTTTTCTTTCTTCAGTTTTGTTGTTTTTTTTTCTCTTTTCTACATTTTGTTTTATAATATTTTTTGCCTCGTTGCCATGAGCTGGAAGTGCTGCAGACAATGCGAAATTTCATCAGAAATCCAAATACAGATAATGATCTAATACATAACTTGTTCGTGGTAAAAACGTTGATAAACGTTTCACAGTAAACTCTATTGAAAAGGGGAGCGCGACATATATAAATATATGTATGTATGCACATAGTATGAATGTGGTAGCAGAAAAGCTGGACATTTTTCTAATAAGCACCTGCGCATATTTCCCCAGCGCTGGTATCAAAAGTTTTGTGAGAACAATTAAAAAATAGTTGAAAATATAATAAACATTATGCAAATGACAGAGTTATTCAAAAGAAACTGTTTGTTTATACCCAATTTTAGTGCAAATGAAATGCTTTAATCGGTAACCGATACAAATAAGAACAAATAAGAATTCACCAATTTTTAGTGCAAGTAAAATGCTTTGTAGTGTTGTATAAGACACAAATGAGAATGCACCATTTTCAGACTTTGTTAAGCACTTTAGTTACCACAGCTAAAAAGTTATATCAGAGCAGAAGTTCTTAGGAATAAGGAGTTCGCGAAACTTTTCCAATTGAGTATTGCGAAACAGAAACGTTGCCAAAGTTAAGTCGCAGTTTCGCCAACGTGAAGCTGTGTGCTTGAGTATCTTTTGAATGTGAATTCCCAGCAATTCGCCACCCGCTTGATTTTACATAACTCCGTCCCCCGCTGCCACCACCACCTTCGCATTTAAAGCCCATTTGGATGGGTAGGGAAAAAGCAAAACTGCGAAAACTGCTCCCAAGCTCACGGTACTCGCTTTGGCTGCTGCCTATTGTCATGTTTTTACGCTGAAATTGTCACAACAAAACACAAAATGAATTGCGGTCAGTGTAAACAGGTGAAGCAGGTGACAACGGATGAGGGGGAGGCACATTGCTAGGCAAGCGGCTTCAGTAGTTGTTGAGTAGCAGGCGGCAAGTGCAAAACTAAAGCGCGAGCAAATAGTCAACATCAACAACAACGGGCAGGGAGGTGAAATGCGCAACTAGGACAGAGCGTTATGGGTAGACAACAAAAACGAATGAGACAGACAGACAGACAGACAGACAGGCGGACGGGCGTAGGATTTTAAAGCGAATTCAATTACTTTTGTTGCCATTGCCGTCGCTTTGCTGGCTCTGGCTGCTGTCGCTTCTTCTTGCTGTTTATTTCATTTTTTCGTTTTTCGCTTTTGCATTTACTTGGAATTCGCAAATGAACTTCGCTTGAAAACAAAATCACATGCAAAGCAGAGCGCGCGGCAACAAAGCGCAAAGTGCCAAAGGAGCGCAACGAACGAGGCATTCTTCAGGGGTAGCGGGAGGGGTACAGCGGTAGCAGGCGGTGTACCATACGGCCTGAGAAAGTGTATTTCATTTTGATATTTTTCGCAAGAAAATTGAAATGAGATTTATTTATTACGTTTTCATTTTGCCCACTCACTCACCCGCCCACCCGGCCGCACCGGCCGCTTGCCCTCTCGCTCGCTCATGCCAAAAATATAAAACGTATTTGCTCCTCTCCATTCATTACGCTTCGCTCGAAATTGTAGTATGAACATAAACAATTCTCATGGCAATTCGGCTTTCATATGCCAATTTAATTAGCAATTCCACCGAATTCAACTGCTCTC